GAAAAAATTATGCTCTCACCAACATGAAAGCATTGCAATGACCTTTCCCCGAGCTGGCTTCCCGTCTGCTGGCTAGGCGAGAACTCCTCCTGACCTGCAAATCAAGACGGGCTTGCTGGGTCAGGTCGCTTTCAAGGCTTTCTGCACTTTCACTATCAGCGTGGGAAGGCCTCTCCACCTGTTCGCTATCTCCTTCGTTAACATTCTTTTCTTCTGAGAACTGCTGTGTTGACTCTGCACTGTCTGTGGGAGCTTCAGAAAAAGACCTAGAAGCAGGCCCAGAGATCTGAGGCACAGAAAAAGAGCCAGGAATCTGAATCCCATCATCCTCATCATCAGAGAACATCTCAGCCACAACATGGGTGCTCTTTCCCCCCCTTCTTGAAGAAGGGACCACATTAGGTCTCCTCCAGTCTTCTGGAACTTCTCCAAGAGTTCTCAAACATCATTGCCAGTGGCTCTGAAACCACGTCCTTCAATACTCTTGGATGTAGTTCACCTGGCCCTGGAGACTTGAATTCACTTAGAGTAGCCAGGTATTCCTGGACTACTTCTTTTCTTATTTTGGGTTGCGTTTCCCCAGTTACCTCATCTGCTCCCATCACGCATGGGGGTCGCAGTGGTCTATGGAAGTGAGTGAAGGTACTGCAAATCCCATCATTCATGGTCTGTCCTCCCTCAAACTGTGCCAGGATGTAAATTGGATCATGAGGGCTCTGTGTGCCACGTGTGGCCTTGATCCGCCATTGGTGTGGTTTGCAGTGGTCTCAGAAATGGAGTTAAAGTACTTGCAACTCCCATCATCCACTGAAGCAAATTAAAACACGCGCATATTGGAATGCAAGGTTGTGTCAAAATGTCAAGTCAATTGACCAACTACTTTTTGAGTTTTGCGACCGCAAACATACACAGACTGTGTTTTTATATATAAAGATATAATATTCATAATAATAATTATTATTAAAAATTAAGTTTCTGGATACTGTATTTTGTAATATATATTATACGTATTTATTATTGTTATTATTGTTATTATTAATGAAACAAGTATTTTCCAGATTTAAATAAATTCATAATATAATATTAGTATTTCCCAGGTTTAAATATAATATAATCATAATTATAATATATTATTATAATATAATTATAATAGTATCATATCATATAATAGTATTTTCCAGATTTAAATAAATTCATAATATAATTTATAATAAGTATTTTCCAGGTTTTAATATAATAAAATATAATAGTATTTTCCAGATTTAAATAAATGCATAATATAATATAATTTAAAATAAGTATTTTCCAGGTTATAATATAATAGTATTTTTCAGATTTAAATAAATGCATAATTTAAAATAAGTATTTTCCAGGTTATAATATAATAGTATTTTCCAGATTTAAATAAATGTATAATATAATTTAAAATAAGTATTTTCCAGGTTATAATATAATATAATAGTATCTTCCAGATTTAAATAAATGCATAATATAATATAATTTAAAATAAGTATTTTCCAGGTTATAATATAATATAATATAATAGTATTTTCCATATTTAAATAAATGCATTATATAATATAATATAAAATAAATGTTTTTCAGGTTATAATAGTATTTTCCAGATTTAAATAAATGCATAACACAATATAATATAATTTAAAATAAGTATTTTTCAGGTTATAATATAATATTATAGTATTATTCAGATTTAAATAAATGCATAATATAATTTAAAATAAGTATTTTCCAGGTTTAAATATAATATAATTATATTATAATATATAATTATAATAATAACATATCATATAATAGTATTTTCCAGGTTTAAATATAATATATAAGCATTTTCCAGATTTAAATAAATGTATAATATAATATAATTATTTTCCAGGTTATAATATAATATAATATAAGTATTTTCCATATTTAAATAAATGCATTATATAATATAATATAATATAAATGTTTTTCAGGTTATAATATAATAGTATTTTCCATATTTAAATAAATGTATAATATAATATAATATAATATAATATAATATAATATAATATAAAGTATTTTCCAGGTTATAATATAATATAATCGTATTTTCCATATTTAAATAAATGCATAATACAATATAATATAATTTAAAATAAGTATTTTCCAGGTTATAATATAATATGATATATAAACATTTTCCAGATTTAAATAAATGCATAATATAATTCATAGTAAGTATTTTCCAGCTTTAAATATAATATAATATAATATAATATAATAGTATTTTCCAGATTTAAATAAATGTATTATATAATATAATTTAAAATAAGTATTTTCCAGGTTTAAATATAATATAATCATAACTATAATATATAATTATAATATAATTATAATAATATCATATCATAGAATAGTATTTTCCAGATTTAAATAAATGCATAATATAATATAATTTATAATAAGTATTTTTCAGGTTTAAATAAAATATAATAGTATTTTCCAGATTTAAATAAATGTATAATACAATATAATATAATTTAAAATAAGTATTTTCCAGGTTATAATATAATAGTATTTTTCAGATGTAAATAAATGCATAATTTAAAATAAGTATTTTCCAGGTTATACTATAATATAATAGTATTTTCCAGATTAAAATAAATGCATTATATAATATAATTTATAATAAGTATTTTCCAGGTTTAAATAAAATATAATAGTATTTTCCAGATTTAAATAAATGTATAATACAATATAATTTAAAATAAGTATTTTCCAGGTTATACTATTATATAATAGTATTTTCCAGATTAAAATAAATGCATTATATAATATAATATAATTTAAAATAAGTATTTTTCAGGTTTAAATATAATATAATTATATTATAATATATAATTATAATAATATCATATCATATAATAGTATTTTCCAGGTTTAAATATAATATATAAGCATTTTCCAGATTTAAATAAATGTATAATATAATATAATATAAGTATTTTCCAGGATATAATATAATATAATATAATATAATAGTATTTTCCATATTTAAATAAATGCATTATATAATATAATATAATATAAATGTTTTTCAGGTTATAATATAATAGTATTTTCCAGATTTAAATAAATGTATAATATAATATAATATAATGTAAGTATTTTCCAGGTTATAATATAATATAATCGTATTTTCCAGATTTAAATAAATGCATAATACAATATAATATAATTTAAAATAAGTATTTTCCAGGTAATAATATAATATGATATATAAACATTTTCCAGATTTAAATAAATGCATAATATAATTCATTGTAAGTATTTTCCAGCTTTAAATATAATATAATATAATATAATATAATAGTATTTTCCAGATTTAAATAAATGTATTATATAATATAATTTAAAATAAGTATTTTCCAGGTTTAAATATAATATAATCATAACTATAATATATAATTATAATAATATCATATCATAGAATAGTATTTTCCAGATTTAAATAAATACATAATATAATATAATTTATAATAAGTATTTTCCAGGTTTAAATAAAATATAATAGTATTTTCCAGATTTAAATAAATGTATAATACAATATAATTTAAAATAAGTATTTTCCAAGTTATAATATAATAGTATTTTTCAGATTTAAATAAATGCATAATTTAAAATAAGTATTTTCCAGGTTATAATATAATAGTATTTTCCAGATTTAAATAATGCATAACATAATATAATTTATAATAAGTATTTTCCAGGTTTAAATAAAATATAATAGTATTTTCCAGATTTAAATAAATGTATAATATAATTTAAAATAAGTATTTTCCAGGTTATACTATTATATAATAGTATTTTCCAGATTAAAATAAATTCATAATACAATATAATATAATTTAAAATAAGTATTTTCCAGGTTATAATATAACATAATATAATATAATAGTATTTTCCAGATTTAAATAAATGTATAATATAATATAATATAATATAAGTATTTTTCAGGTTATAATATAATGTAATATAATATAATAGTATTTTCCAGATTTAAATAAATGCTTAACATAATATAATTTAAAATAAGTATTTTCCAAGTTATAAAGTAATATAATATATTTTCCAGATTTAAATAAATGCATAATATATAATTTATAATAAGTATTTTCCAGGTTATAACATAACATAATATAATATAATAAAATTTTCCAGATTATAATATAATATAATAATATATATTTAATTATAATATAATATAATTAAATATAATATAATTTATAATAAGTATTTTCCAGGTTATAATATAATATAATAGTATTTTCCAGATTTAAATCAATACATAACACAATATAATATAATATAATATAATATAAGTATTTTCCAGGTTATAATATAATATAATATATAAACATTTTCCAGATTTAAATAAATATAATATAATATAATATAAATATTTTCCAGGTTATAATATAATATAATATAATATATTATAATATAATATAATATAATATATAAACATTTTCCAGATTTAAATAAATGCAAAATATAATTTATAGTAAGTATTTTCCAGTTTTAAATATAATATAATAGTATTTTCCAGGTTTAAATAAATGCATAATATAATATATATTTTTCCCATCAGGAAGCTGCTTGACCTTTTGCAAACAAGAAAATACAAGGCAGCCCTGCTATTTGCATACTAAATGGTGCTAGCCAATCGCTGGACAGATTGGCCTGCCTGTCAAACGCAAGCCCCGCCCCATAACAGGAAAAAGTGACAGCGGCCCCGCCCACCGCCTTTGTTCCCCAGCAGGCCGAAGACCAGCGCCCTTGAGACCGCAGCCAATCAGAAAGCGGTTCGCTGCTGAGGGCGAGACGAAGCTATTGACGGACGTCAGCACCAGCCAGTGGTGTCCTGCAGCGCTTAGATTGGCGTTTCCTTCCGACCAATGAGAAGAACGAGACGTCGGGGAATCTCCCAATCGCGGCGGGGGGGAGGCGGGGTTTGCCATTCTTGTTGTCGTCCTCCTGCCAGAGCGAAGGGAGCCGCGTCGGTCGCTGGTTGACTCCGCCGCCATTGCGTCCCGGCTCATCGGGGACATGTCGAGGCTTCGAGGGACGACGACGCGGGCGACGCGGACGACGACGACGACGACGAGGCCTGCTTCGAGATCCCTCCGGAGCGCCGCAGGACCGTTACGCCCGTGAGGTAGGCCTCTGTGTGGGGAAGGACTACGCTTCCCGTGATGCCTCGCGCGGGGCTGTCCGCCGCGGCCTAAGCCTGGCTGCGCGCGGGGCATGCCGGGAAGCGTAGTCGGTGGCTGTTTTCTCCCTCCAGGGGGCGGGGCTCGCTCCTTCCTTCCCTCTGCGGCGCGGGGCGTCACGGGAAGTGTAGTTTCTCCTATCAGGCGAAGGCTGCTTCCTGTCAGGCTCCTTCCTGTCCATATTCTCCTCCAGAAATGGACACAGGGCTCTTAGTATTCCTGGGAAAAGTAGAATAGAGTGTTTGCCTATCTATTATTATATGTTATATTATTATATTATTATTTTCTTATATATTATTATATTTTATATTATTCTATTCTGTTATATATGTTTGTACCTTGTGGGTTGTGTTATGGGCATGGGAATTTTGGTGAAGTTTCGTTGGGGTTTGTTAGAGTTTTGCTGTCCCATTGAACCAACCTAACAGATTTATATATATAGATATCATATGTATATACAATATATTATATTATTAATAAAGAATATAATATACATAAACATAATGATAGAAATATTGTAATATAATAGGCTAATATAAAATATAATAATTATAATATATTTATTTATTATAAATATTATAATAATATAATATAAGAATATCTATATCTATATCTATTCCCATGCCCATAACACAACCCACAAGGTACAAACATCTACTCAAAATGAAAAACAACACAACAACACACTCACAAACCGGCAAAACAACAAAACTCAAAAAAACCCCAATGAAACTTAACCAAAATTCCCATGCCCATAACACAACCCACAAGGTACAAACATATCTATTCAAAATGAAAAACAACACAACAACACACTCACAAAACGACAAAACAACAAAGCTCAAAAAAACCCCAACGAAACTTAACCAAAATTGCCATGCCCATAACACAACCCACAAGGTACAAACATATCTACTCAAAATGAAAAACAACACAACAACACACTCACAAAATGGCAAAACAACAAAACTCAAAAAACCCCCAACGAAACTTAACCAGAATTCCCATGCCCATAACACAACCCACAAGGTACAAACATATCTACTCAAAACGAAAAACAACACAGCAACACACTCACAAAACGGGAAAACAACTGAGCATGCGCATTGGTGCCCAGCCGCAAGTTCCCTGGCGCGCGCACACAGCCTTCCGGCCAACGTTCCCTCTGCGGAAGCCATGCCCACTCCAAGCCCCGCCGCGCCGCTTCCCGCACACACACACCCCCTGCCGCATGCACACACACAACCCCACGCTCCATCACTCTCCCCGCCGCCGCACACACACACACAACCCCATGCTTTATCACTCCCCCCGCTGCCGCACGCACACACACAACCCCACGCTTTACTCCCCCCGCCGCCGCACACACACACACAACCCCACGCTCCCTCACTCCCCCCGCCGCCGCACACACACACGCAACCCCACGCTCCATCACTCCCCCCGCCGCCGCACACACACACACAACCCCACGCTCCATCACTCCCCTGCCCCAATCTTACCTCCTTTTACTTCACGCCACCTCCAAACCCCACCGCCCCTTCCCGCCCTGTCAAAATTCAGGAAAGACAGGAAAGAAAAAGGGGGAAGAAGGAAGGAGAGAAGAAAAAAGGGAATGAAGGAAGGAAAGAGGGAGTGAAGGAAGGGGAAGATGTAGAGAAAGAGGGAGGGAAGGAAAGAAGGAAAGATAGAAGGAAGAAAAGAGACCAGAAGAGAAAGAAAAAGGGGGAAGGAAGGAAAGAGATAGAGAAGGAAGAGGAGAAGGAAAGATGGGAGGGAAGGAAGGAAGGAAGGAAAGAAGGAGAGAAAGAGGGAAGGTTGGCCACAGCAACGCGTGGCGGGTAAAGGTTGTTATTTCTATGATTATTATGATGCTATTATTCCTATGAGACCCTTTTAGGGGGAATGGGAGAGGTGTCAGGTCCCAGAGGCAATGCATTGCATTATTGTTATTGTTATGATGGTGGTGAAATAAAAGGAAATAAAAAGAGAAAGAAGGAAGCAAACAGGGAGGGAAGAAAGGCAAAGGAAGAAAGGGGGAGGGAATGAAGGAAAGAGAGAAGGATGAAACCAAGTAGTGAAAGAAGGAAAGAAAGAAAGAGGTAGAGAAGGAAGAAAGGAGAGAAAGGGGGAGGAAAAGGGGGAAGGAATAGGTACCTCTCTTTCATAATAGTCCAGATATCTACCTCAACTTTGATAAGTTTTACTATAGGCCACAGCAACGCGTGGCAGGGCACAGCTAGTTTATAATATAATTGTCACACTTCAGAGTAGATTCACCTTGCTGAAAACACCAAACTGCACACAGCCAGAAGTCTTTATAGTGTATTAAAAAAAAAAAGAAGATAAAAGTTCTTAAAAGCAAAGGCAATGTTCCAAAAGATCAATATAAAATAGCACTTTGAAGCTTAATTCAAAAACGCACCAGCAAAGCAAAATCTCATGAGAACATGAATAAGTCCTGAAATGAATCATCTGAGCAACGGTGTTGTGCCTCTGCTTGTAGTCTGTCTTTGCGATCTTCTTGCAGCAGCTGAGGATGAGATCTATTGTTTCACCTGCTTCCTTGCAGAGTTGTTATTATTAGTAGTAATATATTTTATATTATTGTAACATTTTTCTTTTTCTTATATATTATTATATTTATATTATATTTATATTATAATTATAATTTTATATTATCTCATTCTTTTATTCTATTATATTGTAATGTATACCCCACTTTTCATAAATATAATAATAGTAACATTATAATAAAATAGACTAATAGAATAGGAGAATATAAAATATAATATGTATATGTATACTCCACTTTTGGAGCCCCCAGTGGCACAGTGGGTTAAAACATTGAGCTGCTGAACTTGCTGACCAAAAGGTTACAGGTTCAAAGCCGGGGAGCGACGTGAGCTCCCGCTGTTAACCCCAGCTTTGAAAACATGCAGATCTGAGTAGATCAATAGGTACTTGAAGGGAATGCAACTGGAATGATGATATTGCTGATGAGACTGTTTTACTGTTTTAATGATGGCTTATGTATTGTTAATTATAATTATTAATTATTAGTCGGACTTGGCCACGGTAGTCCACGCTCTTGTCACATCCCGTATAGATTACTGCAACGCGCTCTACGTGGGGTTGCCCTTGAAGACTGCCCGGAAGCTTCAGATGGTCCAGCGTTCGGCAGCCAGGTTGCTAACGGGAGCGGCACTCAGGGAGCACACCACTCCTCTGTTGAGCCAGCTCCACTGGCTGCCAATTTGCTACCGGGCACAATTCAAGGTGCTGGCTTTAGCCTATAAAGCCCTACACGGTTCCGGCCCCACTTACCTCTCCGAACGCATCTCCCCCTATGAACCGGCGAGGTTGTTAAGATCGTCTGGTGAGGCCCTGCTCTCGGTCCCGCCAGCATCACAAGTGCGGCTGGCGGGGACGAGGGACAGGGCCTTCTCGGTGGTGGCCCCCCGGCTATGGAATGCCCTACCAGCGGACATCAGGCAGGCCCCTTCGTTATTGGCGTTTAGGAGGAGGGTTAAGACGTGGCTCTTCGAACAGGCGTTCGGATAAGTATGCAATAACAACTGACTCAGGAATGACGGCACATTGAACAAGGAATGGTAATACGACTGTGAGATTGAGATCTGATTCTAACTAGGCGTGATGATTTTTATGTGTATTGTTTGTGTATGTCTGTCATATGGATTGTTTAGTGTTGCACATTTTATTGTAAACCGCTTCGAGTCGCCTTTGCAGGCTGATATTTGCGGTATACAAAAGAAGTAAATAAATAAATAAATAATAAATATTCTTTTATGTTTAATTGTGGTTTTATTTTTGTAATTTGTTATGTAATGGCTTCGGAATGAGGCCCATTGTAAACCGCCCTGAGTCCCCCTTTGGGGGTTGAGAAGGACGGGATAGAAATGCGAGAAATAGTAATGATAATAATACTGATCCGGCAGGAAGGTAACGGCGCTCCATGCAGTCATGTGAACCACATGATTTTGGAGGTGTCTGCAGACAATGCTGGCTCTTTGGCTTAGAAATGGAGATGAGCACCAACCCCCCCGGGTTGGACACGACTGGACTTAATGTCAGGGGAAAACCTTTACCTTTATCTGTTATCATCTATTACAGTGGTTCTCAACCTTTCTAGTGCCGTGACCCCTAAATACAGTTCCTCATGTTGTGGTGACCCCCGACCATAAAATTATTTGTGTTGCTGTTTCATAACTGTCATTTTGCTACTGCTATGAATTGTCACATAAATATCCGATATGCAGGATGTCATAAATTTCATTGTCATAATTTGAACATAATTAATGCATAGTGAATATGTTTGGGGGAGTGTGGACAACAGATGATGGTATCTGCAGTACCTTCAACCAATTCAGCTCTGACTTCCACAGCCGAGACCCCCATGCATGACAGATCTGGACCAAACTTGGCACACAGAACTCCCATGACCAACAGAAAATACTGGAGCAGTTTGGGAGGAAGTGAAAGTGAGTTAGGGGAGATGTAGTTCGCTTACATTTGGAGAGCACTCTGAACTCAAACAACCCTGGATCTGAACCAAACCAAACCCTGGATCTGAACCCGTGCCTTTGGGGCGGGGCCAACAGAGGTGGTTTCGCGACCCCTCCAAAATGGCCAGGCGACCCCCATGGGGGTCGCGACCCCCAGGTTGAGAACCGCTGATCTATTATTATGATCCCTGTACAATTTGTTTAGGTGGGTTTGGTACCTTTTGGAAACAAGCTCCACTTTTATGTCCCTTTCGTATCCAAAATGGGGGTGTTGTTCCCTCCGGATTTCCAGCATTCCTTGCTGCTGCTTGCACTGGTTAGGGCTGATGGGACTTGCAGTCCAACGGCAGCGGAGTCCCATCCTTTGCTGGTTCTTGGATTGTGCGCTGGCCTCCGTAAGACCTATGTCCTCACTGCTGACCTACATTCGAGACAATGAATGTGGGCGTCTCAGGCCCAGGAAGCCCCTCTGTGCCAGCTGCGTCACTTGGCATTTGTCCTTGTTAGCGCTTCAGCATGTTGCAGCTAGATTTCCCTGCCAAAGCATCCTGACACATAATCATGGCATTAGAGCATTATCCTTTCTTTGCAAGGGGATGCTTGGCCCAGAGATGGTCCTCTTTGGACCTCGGCTTGTATCTTCTCAACGGGTGCATGCCAGCCATGATCCCCAAATCCTTGCCGTGCTCCCAAGACCTAGGATGCCTCAGCCAGAAAGCCCTCCTTTTTATATTATTTCCCTTTTAAGAGTTACTGTTTATATCAACTCTTTTCCAGCTCTTGTCCTAGTCAGAGCCCTGAAGGCAACAGGTGTAGACCCTGTGCTGTCCCTGGTTTTTAATGCAGAGCCAAAAAGGGAACATGTCGAAGGAAGGCAGGTTGGAGGACATCCTTCCTGAGCCCAGATGGAGATCAGAGCAAGGAATTTAAAACACATCTAAAGGTCTATCTCTTCCTGCAGGCCTACCCAGTCAGTTTTAACTATGCATTTTAAACTCATGTCTTGTGTTTACTATATTTTGATCTGTTCTGTGTATTTTAATATATGTATTCCATAGAACTGCATTTTAATACGTGTAAACATTTTATAAATCCTATTTTAGAAAGTTTACCAGGGAGATCTGTAAGGTTTGATTATCTTTTGGCTGACCAATACCCCAAAATTACTGCTAAAGTTTCTAGCTTTTGTGCAGCAGCAATAGCTTGTCATCGCAAGATGCTATCACACTCTTAGAAGGTTTTAATATTTCCTCCAGTTTTTACCATTGTCATTTTAGCATATAAATGTTTAATACTGTTTTAACTATCATATTCAATACTGGGTTCTAACTTTGTTTTTGACATTGTTTCTTAATGCCTACATGTATATATTCTTGTTCTGACGTTCGTACATTTCTTGGTGCTGGTCATTGACCATAAATAAGTTTGTGTGTATGTGTGTGACTGTCTCTCTCTCTATATATGTGTGTATGTGTGTGTATGTATTTTACGTAATGTTTATAATAATGTGTTTTTAGCTATGTTGTGACTCACTTCAAGCCACGAGGAGAGGCAGGTGAGAAATACAATAATAATAATGATAATTGCTACTATTACTGCTACCCAGCTGGTAGGATGGGGGCAGTCTGTATGTGGTGGAACACTACTGATTTTCTGCAGATGGAATGTGTAAGAATTAACCCCAAAACATTTTGTTTTCCCACTGAGGAAAGGGGAGTGCTGGGCTCCCTTGTAGCCCCTCTCCTGGGAGCAAAGTCTGGAGTTCAGCTGCCTTTATGAGTTCCCTCTCCTTTGACCTATTTCAGAGCCCTCCTTCCCTTCCTCCATCCCTGTCTCTGTTCCTCTGGCGGTTTCCCTTCTGTTCTCTGGCCCAGAGGCAGCTGCAGATCGGCAGGGAGAGGCCCTCCTTGAGCTCAGCAGAGAGGAACACAGTGTCCTCTCCTTGTTTACAGGGCTCAGGTTTCAGTCTGGAACAAGAATCGAAAAGGAGGAACTTTGAAAGCTTCCTCTGGGTTAGCATGACTCAAATGTTCCCTTGACCCAAAGGGCATGGGCTGCTTTGAATTTTGCATGGGGAGGCCGGGTGTCAGCCTGCTCTGGAGGTGGCCATTCATAGAATCATAGAATCAAAGAGTTGGAAGAGACCTCCTGGGCCATCCAGTCCAACCCCATTCTGCCAAGAAGCAGGAATATTGCATTCAAAGCACCCCTGACAGATGGCCATCCAGCCTCTGTTTAAAAGCTTCCAAAGAAGGAGCCTCCACCACACTCGGGGCAGAGAGTTCCACTGCTGAACGGCTCTCACAGTCAGGAAGTTCTTCCTCATGTTCATGGAATCTCCTCTCTTGTAGTTTGAAGCCATTGTTCCATTGCGTCCTAGTCTCCAAGGAAGCAGAAAACAAGCTTGCTCCCTCCTCCTCCCTGTGGCTTCCTCTCACATATTTATACATGGCTATCATATCTCCTCTCATCCTTCTCTTCTTCAGCTCCTTAAGCCACTCCTCATAGGGCTTGTTCTCCAGACCCTTGATCATTTTAGTCGCCCTCCTCTGGACACATTCCAGCTTGTCAATATCTTTCTTGAATTGTGGTGCCCAGAATTGGACACAATATTCCAGGTGTGGTCTAACCAAGGCAGAAGAGAGCATGGGAGCATGACTTCCCTAGATCTAGACACTAGGCTCCTATTGATGCAGGCCAAAATCCCATTGGCTTTTTTTGCCGCCACATCACATTGTTGGCTCATGTTTAACTTGTTGTCCACGAGGACTCCAAGATCTTTTTCACACGTACTGCTCTCGAGCCAGGCATCGTCCCCCATTCTGTATTTTTGCATTTTGTTTTTTCTGCCTAAGTGGAGTATCTTGCATTTGTCACTGTTGAACTTCATTCAGCTTGTGCAGGCACGGAGCAAGCCCTCTTGTCTGCCCACCCATTGGCCAGAGCTCTTTCCCTCTTCTTGCCCCACTTGTGGATCCTTTTCACAGGCAACTGACAGCGCATATGTGCAGCAGAATGGCTTTTGGGGAAAATGGGATGGCGCTGGATGAGAACGGGAAAACTGGGAGGTTTCCCAGATTTCCTTCCATGGAATAGTTTGTGATAGTGCTTTGAGGAGCCCTTTCTTGATGAAACCCCTCCCCTCCACCCTAGTCATGGGATTCTTCTCTGTATTTCCCTGGCCTTGTTCAAGTCAGCTTTCTTGAATACCAAGGCTTGTGTCTGAACATACGCTTCTTTGTCCCGTCCCATCACAAGAGTTCTAGCATTACATAATGCCAGCTGTTTCAATTCCAGTGACCAGCTCCTTCCTGTATGTTGCGGATCCCCTTGTTTTTTTCTCCAACTTCTGAAAAAGGGAAATATCTGCAAAGCACAGCAGGAATTTGATGGAGAGCCCATTCTTAGCAGAGCTGGTGTTGCAACTCAGTGTAAGCTTCACCAGCTCCAAACACCACCACACAAGAGCTGTAGCTTTATATGTATTGTCGAAGGCTTTCATGGCAGGAATCACTGGGTTGTTGTAGGTTTTTTCGGGCTATATGGCCATGTTCTAGAGGCATTTCTCCTGACGTTTTGCCTGCATCTATGGCAAGCATCCTCAGAGGTAGTGAGGACCTCACTACCTCTGAGGATGCTTGCCATAGATGTAGGCGAAACGTCAGGAGAAATGCCTCTAGAACATGGCCATATAGCCCAAAAAGACCTACAACAACCCTGTAGTTTTATAGTTTATTGAGGAGAAAATCCAAGTCAAAATAAAGAATAAGCATTGCAAAATTCCAAAGATAAAGGTTAAAAGCAGAATATAGTTCCAAAGATCTTCAGGTAAAAACAGGAGGCATAATCCTATTTGCAAAGTTCAAACCAGAGTCCCAGGTACAAGCAATGAAACAATTGCCCCATGAATCACAACGCAAGAAATCGCAAGCGGACTGCTTTCCAGGCTAAGGTTATTCCATGAAGCTTTCAGGCTAGTAAGCTACGTTGAACTGACGCTTTCTCAGAGTTTGCAAGAGGCCTAAATACCTTTCTAACATGAAAACATTAGGCTGTCATCATCATAAAAGCATTGCGATGACCTTTCACTGAGCTGGCTTCTTGTCTGCTTGCCAGACGAGAACTCCGCCTGACCAAGATGAGCTTGTTAGAGTCAGTGGGCCAAAGCTACTCTCATCCGGAGGAGTGTGAGATAAACCTCTGTGTGATGAATAAAACCTAAAGTGTTGTTCATTCTTGTCAGAAATATTAAAAAATAACTGGGTATTTTTGATTACAAAAGTGTGAGTCAAGCACTGAAAGAGTTAGTAGGTCAAAGCCTGTTAGAGTCAGTGGGCCAAAGCTAGTGTCGTCCGGAGGAGTGTGAGGTAAACCTCTGTGTGAGAGAAGTCTCTTGTGAGAAAGCTCCAGTATGAAGACTGCTGCGTGTAAAGTATTTGTTTATTTGTGTTGTAGAAACCTTGTCCTTGTAAATAGTGTAACCATATTATTTTACTACAAAGAAAAGCTTCCTAAGGAGAGATAAACATTGGTCTCTCTGTGTGTGTTCTTTCCATCACTTTGGGGTCCTGGTGCTGGGTCACGCTGCTGTTGATAAGTTACTCTGTTTACATTTATGAGGAGGGTCTTTTGTTAATAAGCCCACATGCCCAACAGTTCTCATATATATTCTTCAGCGAGTTTTTATGTAAAACAAAAGTTTTTAAATGCGTCGTGGTGTTATTGTCTAATGTTTACTGCTATTGTTTAATGTTTATTGCTTTGTTTTATGAGTTTATTTATTGTTATATTTGTTATGCTGTTGTTTTATTGATGTATTGGGCCTCGGCCTCTTGTAAGCCGCACCGAGTCCTTTGGGAGATGTTAGCGGGGTATAAATAAAGGATTATTATTATTATTATTATTATTATTATTATTATTATTAACTCCTCTTCTCTCACTCAGCTTCTCCTCTAGAATTCATATCCTAGTGTTTAGCGCTTCCTCTTGGACAGATGTTTACAGTGTCATCCCCAAAAGATTTAATGTAAAGCCTTCTTGATCAGATTGGCCACGCTTTTGCCAAAGGCTAAGTCCTTCTGAACAAATCTTGCCAAGAAAACCCCATGATAGGGTCAACTTAAGGTCCCCATCAGTTGGAAACAACAACAACGATGCCACAGAAGGAAAAGCTTTCCAATTCTCAAACTAGGAGCATCCCTTATGATAAAGGACATCTGCCAGCCCACCTATTGGCAAGCTTTCCAGATCTCAGTCCAGGGATCTCCCCCATAATAGGAACACGAGGCAGCTTTGGTCTCCCTGTATTAATCTCCTGTCTTCCCACCAGTGGAGCCAGCTGATGGTCTTCTCTCTTCTTCTCTGCCAGGAAGTTCAGCCTTGCAGACAGAGCACCAAGAACCGTCCTTGTACCAGAAGGCACGACAATGAAGCTGTTGGAAAACTCCAGTTTTGAAGCCATAAACTCCCAGCTGACAGTGGAGACGGGAGATGCACACATCATTGGCAGGTGAGGGGGAAGGGGCTTCTGGAGGAGGAGGGGAACCTTAATTTCTTTTCTGAACACATCCCACTGTAACTTGGGGGCGTTCTTCTGCAGCTTGTGGATGCCTTCAAGTGGTCATGTTTTGTTTTTGTTAAGAGGAACATTCAGATCTATTCTCTTATCAGCCACCAGGTCCTGTGTCCTAAATCCCTTTGGTGGAAGCAGGTGCCTCCTGTCAAATTTCTGTCTGTCCTTCTTCCCAGGTGTTCTGCCCAACCACCTCTTCTTTCCAGGTGTATAGGCCTGCTGAGTGGCAGATGGGAAGTCCTGCCGAGCAGCAGACTATCTGCCCAGAGTGGAGAGATGTGCTCTTTGTTTGGAATTGTGGAACCAAGGAGTCACTGGAGGGGAATTGGGGAAACACAGGCCCAGCCAGGTCCTGCAGGGGAGCAGCCAGGTCCTGCAGGGAGCAGCCGAAAGAAAGCCAACTTCTTCAATGTTGCCCAAGAGAACAATTCAGGGCCGGTGTGTGGTTCTCCTGCCGCAAAAGGAGTTGGAGAACCCCTCGGCTTTGCAGAGAGCGCTGCTGCTTCGGAGTTACAGAGGGAATATGTTGGGTTTTATCACAATCCCGTTTCACTCCGTTTGCTTGGAAGATTTTCACTTCCTGCTGCCTTTGGACGCAGCTGACTTGGTGGCTACAGCCGCTTTGAGTCTCCTTGTGGAGAGAAAAAGCGGGGTATAAATAAACATAAACATATTATTATTATTATTAATTATTAATAATATTATTAATAATAATAATACAGAATTGTATATTTGAATTGTATATTTATATACAATATACAATATATTTATTTATATATACAATATATTTATTTATATTTATAAATATATATATAAATATATTTATATATTTATTGTATATATAAATATACAATTATATATGTATATTTATATAGTCCAAGATGCATAATAATAATAATACAGAATTGTATATTTGAATTGTATATTTATATACAATATATTTATATATACAATATATTTATTTATATTATACATATATATAAATATATATTTATATATTTATTGTATTTATAAATATACAATTATATAAATAATTGTATATTTATATAGTCCTAGATGCTTGGGAAGTGTTCAACTTGTGATTTTGTGATACGAAATCCAGCATATAGATCTCATTTGCTGTGACATACTGTGCTTTTGTGTCAGTAAAATCATACAGAATTGTATATTTGAATTGTATATTTATATACAATATATTTATTTATATATACAATACATTTATTTATATTTATAAATATATATAAATATATTTATTGTATTTATAAATATACAATTATATAAATAATTGTATATTTATATAGTCCTAGACGCTTGGGAAGTGTTCAACTTGTGATTTTGTGATACCAAATCCAGCATATAGATCTTGTTTGCTGTGACATATTGAGCTTTTGTGTCAGTAAAATCATACAGAATTGTATATTTGAAAATGTTTGAAATCAGATCAGTGGTATGAATAACAATCCGCAACTCAGGGAACCTTTAGAAGAGCAGAAAATCCCATGAGCTCTGCTCCGGGGGGAAATAACGATGGGGAATAAATTGCTTCCTTCAAGTCCCTTGGAAGGCTTGTAATGAAGAGGGGGACAAACAACTTCCCTTGGGTATGTGCTAGAACAGTGTTTCTCAACCGGTGGGTCCCCAGGTGTTTTGGCCTTCAGAATTCCTAACAGCTGGTAAACTGGTTGGGACTTCTGGGAGTTGTAGGCCAAAACACCTGAGGGCCCACAGGTTGAGAACCACTGTGCTAGAAGCTGATAAGTGTATGTGATAGATGGCGGGTCTGCACCTGGTGTTTGGGCCCATCTTGTGCCCCTCTCTCCCTTTGCAGGATCGAGAGCTACTCTTGCAAGATGGCGGGGGACGACAAGCACCTCTTCAAGCAGTTCTGCCAGGAGGGCCAGCCCCACGTCCTGGAGGCACTGTCTCCGCCTCAGACCACCGGGATCAGCCCAAGCAGGTAGGCTCCCCTCAGTCTACCCCAATCAGACCTTACAGGCAGAACTGCCAGTTTCCTTCAGCAATGAGAAGAGGGCTGAGATCCTTTTTTAGAGGAGGTTTGTGGGGCTGAACACTGTGTTGTGTGTCCCAGGCTCAGCAAGAGCCAGAGTGGCGATGAAGAGGGGCCCCTCAGTGACAAGTGCAGCCGCAAGACCCTCTTCTACCTGATCGCCACCCTCAACGAGTCCTTCCGCCCCGACTACGACTTCAGCGCAGCCAAGAGCCACGAGTTCAGCCGAGAGCCCAGCCTCAACTGGGTGAGTGGGTCCATTCATTTGTCTCTGGCCAGCAAGCCTGGTCTGGTCACTCTTATCAGGAAAGGCCCTCAGTAGAGTTGGGCTTTTTTTTCTGTTCATGTCCAGCATTTATTTTTTAAAATTTTAAATTATTACATCTGGCCTGGCCATAGGTTTTTAAATCTTTGCGTGTTATTGTCTATATGTGAGTTATATTAATTGTATTGATTTATTTGCTTATTGCTTTGTTGTTTTTCTGATGTGTTGTTGGGCTTGGCCTCATGTAAGCCGCCCCGAGTCCCTTTGGGAGATGGTGGTGGGGTATAAATAAAGTTCTATTATTATTATTATTATTATTATTATTATTATTATTATTATTAGAGTTGCTCCTTGCCCCTCCCAAAGCAATGCATGATGGAGCAGTATAAGCAGGGAGGATGGGCACAATACTGGCAAGCCTTGCTCCTTCAGTACTTTGATGGGTCAACAAATACCCTAATGCATCTGGACAAGAAGGCGATTAGAGACAAAATCTTTGAGAGGGATGCAGCTGACAACTTGCAGATTAGCAAACTGCAAGGTTTCTCTAACTGGTATCCTCAGCTAAAAAGTGACCAATATGGTCAACAATATCTTCAAGACCTAACGTCAGCGGTCCTGAGGAAAGCATTGACAGCCCTGCGATTCCAAACAATGCCATCAAACTGGCTAGAGGGAAGATACAGAGGGATCCCCCATGCCCAACGACTTTGCATTTGTGGCACAGGGGAAAGAGAAGACCTAACACACTATTTGCTACGTTGCCCCTTGTACAATGACCCTAGGAAAAATCTCCTAGGATCACTCTTGGAAGAAAGGGCATCATGGCAACAATCTGTGGTGATCTGCGACTTGCTAGCAGATCGTTCTAAAACTATAACACTAAAGGTTGCCACATTCGCAATCGCAGCCCAAAAGATCCGAGCCAAAGCAGCAAAATCCATTCTGGGGGTCAGAAATGGAAACGGTTTGGATTGACACAAAGCAGACACTGTCATTGTCATGTCTCTGCTTTCATAATTTTAATGAACTTGTTTCAGTTTTAACTCTTGTTACGTTTTAAGGTTTATATTGGAAAGTGTTTATAAAGTTAGTATATTATGGATGTCATGGCCTATGGCTAGTACAATAAACAATTCATTCATTCCTTGCCCCTCCTTGCTGGGCCAAAGGCTGTTCTCCTTCTTCCTGATTTGACTATTACAGGGCAGCTGAAAGGATTGTAGTCCATATCTGTATGCAAAGGGATCTTCCAGACACTGTTCAGGCTGAGCAAAGGAGTCTGTACCTTATGTTTTTGTAGATCCATTCTGCTTCATCAGATGTAACAGAAATTGACTTGACTCTGTAAAGCTTGTGCTCCAAACTTCTTTCTCACAGTTAGTCCCAGAGGTGCTGCAAGATCACCTTGTATGGCATTTCTCAAATTCTGCTTCTCCAGGTGTTTTGGACTTCAGCACCCAGAAATCCCAGCCAGCTTACCAGCTGTCGGGAGTAGTGAGAGCTGAAGTCCAAAACATCTGGTAGAGCAGAGTTTGAGAAACACTGTGTTGTACCCCAGAGCAGGATTCCCTCTGACTCTCAACACCACACAGTTGGGTTAAAATAGCAAGCAGTTTATTGAAGATAGCAGAAGTCAAAGCAATAAAAGTAATCCGGAGTAAAAAGGCAAATCCAATTGATTAGGAAGTAAAAAGAGCAATAAATCCACAGAGAAACAATTCCAAGAAAGTCCATTAAACCAGAGGCTTGATTTCAAAGGCAAAAACAACAGCAAAGGCTGGGTTCCTGTAGGTTTTTTTCGGGCTGTATGGCCATGGTCTAGAGGCATTCTCTCCTGACGTTTCGCCTGCATCTATGGCAAGCATCCTCAGAGGTAGTGAGGTTTGTTGGAACTGGGAAAAAGGGTTTATATATCTGTGGAATGACCAGGGTGAGACAAAGGACTCTTTTCTGCTGGAGCCAGGTGTGAATGTTTCAACTGACCACCTTGATTAGCATACAACGGACTGACTGTGCCTGGAGCAAACTTTTGTTGAGAGGTAATTAGAAATACACAATTGAAATACACAAGCATGTGGACCATTTCAACAGAAACGAGGAAACCATGAAAATGAACAAAATCTGGCTACCAGTATTAAAAAACTCTAAAATTGCAACAGCATAACAACAGAGAGGAAACAAACAAGGACATCTAATCACCTCTCAACAAAAGTTTGCTCCAGGCTGTGGGGAGGAAAAGACTTCTCCACCTGGCCATGTGGGATTTCACTCTCGATATCAGTCTCACTAACATTCCTTTCCCCTAGGAACTAACTTGCTGTTTCTCCTCCAGCAACCCCACCATCAGCCCTGTCTGAGGCATGTACAGAAATCTGTAACCCCATCAGTCTCCTCATCATCCTGTAGGAATTCTGACTCAGAAGGCCCAAAGAACTCAGCTTCAGACTCAGAGTCAAGCTGAGTCACAACACTCAGAGCGGCTTACAAGATATATATATATACATACAAGATATTATATTATATATTACTTTATTGTACTATACCATTATATTGTAGTATTATTAGTAATATTACATGTAATATAAAATATATAATTATAATATATTATTAGTATTAGTATTATATAGTATTACTAGCTGTCCCCTACCACGTATTTCTGTGGCCCAGTCTGGTGATCTGGAAAATAAAGTAATGAGAAAGTGTTGGTTTCTAATATATGTAATTTCTTTATGCTTGTGTTGATGTAGAGATAGTCTGGTTGGCCTATTCTGGAGCATGCAACATAGAATTGTCCTTGTTTAGGGGTCCTTTTCAAATCTATGATACTATTTATGTGTGTGAGAGAGTCATATATATCTCTCTATATCTATGGCTAGATGGCTCTTTGTCAGGAGGGCTTTGATTACGTTTTCTTGTCCTCATGAAGGGAGTTGGACTGGATGGCCTTGAGTATTTTCTGTTGGTCATGGGGGTTCTGTGTGGGAAATTTGCCCCAATTCTGTCGTTTGTGGGGTTCAGAATGCTCTTTGTTTGTAGGTGAACTATAAATCCCAGTAACTACAACTCCCAAATGTCGAGGTCTATTTCCCCCAAACTCCATCTGTGTTCATATTTGGGCATATGGAATATTTGTGCCAAGTTTGGTCCAGATCCATTATTGTTTGAGCCCACAGTGCTCTCTGGATGTGTGTGAACTACAACTCCCAAACTCAAGGTCAATGCCCATCAAAGCCTTCTAGTGTTTTCTGTTGACCATGGGAGTCCTGTGTGTCACCTTTGGTTCAATTCCATCGTTGGTGGAGTTCAGAATGCTCTTTGATTGTAGGTGAACTATAAATTCCAAGAACTACAACTCCCAAATGACAAAATCAAAAGAATTTGAGGTAAAGACATACATTGGGTTGTTAGGTGTATGCTGTCCAAATTTGGTGTCAATTCGCCCACTGGTTTTTGAGTTCTGTTAATCCCACAAATGAACATTACATTTTTATTTATATAGATCATATGTATATATAATATATTACATTACATTACATTATATTATTAGCATAGCACAGGAGACAAGGTGGAACTGTCCCCTGCCCCCCCCCCCCCTCACTCTGGCCCCCTTTCTTCCCTCCCTCTTGCTGGACCAGTGGGATGTTTGGGGAGGCATGTGTGTTTTGCCTGGACACATTCATACACACAGCCTGGTCTCCCTCACCTGAGTGCCGGTGTCTCCTTCAGGTGGTGAATGCTGTCAACTGCAGCCTCTTTTCTGCTGTGCGGGAGGATTTCAATGCGCTGAAGCCTCACTTGTGGGATGCGGTGGACCAGGAGATCTGCCTCTCCGAGTGTGACATTTACAGGTTGGTTCATTGGGCAGGGCAGGGGGCTCTCTGGAGGAGGAGGTGGCCTACCTGGCTGTAGGAGGGAGGAAGGGGTGGATCTTGGCAAAGAGACCCCTTAACGGCTTCCTCTTCTGATGCCTCAGCTACAACCCAGACCTGGATTCGGACCCCTTTGGAGAGGAAGGCAGCTTGTGGTCCTTCAACTACTTCTTCTACAACAAGCGCTTGAAACGGATTGTCTTCTTCACCTGTCGCTCCATCAGGTAAGAGCCTCAGCCCAGGCAATGGGGGGGTGGGCTCCCTCTGGCCTTTCCTGATGTCTCTGTGTGGTCCTTGGGTGCTTTTCTAATAATGGGGTTGGGTCAGAGGGGCTGGAGAGAACCCAAAACAGAGGGGTCTCCTTTGCCTCCCCAGCGGCTCCACTTACCCTCATTCTGAGGCCGGGAATGAGTTGAACATGGACCTGAGCGAGGACGACGCGGAGGAGACGACGGACGCCTTTGACAAGGACGGGGGCAGCATTGAGGAGGAGAGGTGGGTGAGGGAGGCTCCCCTGTGGCCCCCAAGTCCCCCAAGTGGGAGGGACCCTTCTCAGGAGCACTTGGGCTGTGTAGGCTTGCATTACACGGGCTCGGACTAGATCACTGCTTGGGTCCTCACCCCAAATGGGCTCCCCTTCACTCAGTATTGAGGTTGCAAAGAAAATTGGCAACAGTAGAAAAGGTTTGTTTATTTATTTAGGTCCTTTGTATTCCATCCTTCTCAGGACAGCTTACAATTGGCAGTCATTAGATGCCGACAAAGAAACAGAACACAGCTATTAGCAGCTATTGAACAGCTATAAATATACATTAAAAAGGCAATAAAATACATTAAAATATTGGCTCTTAAAATATTGACACAACCACGAGGGTGGATTGAGATCAGGGCCTCCCCCGACAATCGTAAACTCCGAGGTGGGTCATAGAGGGAGATACGTTCGGACAAGTAAACTGGGCTTTATAGGTCAAGACTACTAGCTGTCCCCTGCCATGCGTTGCTGTGGCCCAGTCTGTGTATATGTGTATGTGTGTGTGTGTATATTTGGGTATATGTCTTATTTATGTGGTTTTGCGCATGCGTGTTGTATGTTTTATTTTTTGTCTTTTTAAGTCTCTTCTGCTGTGTTTTTCAGTGTTTTGATGAGTGATGGTATTTATGTATCGTGTCATCCGCAACCAGAACATTGTATTACATTTCTAACAGAACAAAACAAACAAACAGATAAAAAAACAAAAAAAAACCCCACAAATTTTGCAAATTTGGTAGCTGATTAAATGTCCTTTGACCAGTCTCTGGCCTCTTGGAGCGCCTCTGGTGTTGCCGCAAGAAGGTCCTCCATCGTGCATCATGTGGCAGGGCTCAGGTTGCATTGCAGCAGGTGGTCAGTGGTTTGCTCCTCTCCATACTCGCATGTTGTGGACTCCACTTTGTGGCCCCATTTCTTGAGGTTGGCTCTGCATCTCGTGGTGCCAGAGCGCAGTCTGTTCAGCGCCTTCCAAGTCGCCCCGTCTTCTGTGTGCCCAGGGGGGAGTCTCTCATCTGGTATCACCCATGGATCGAGGTGCTGGGTTTGAGCCTGCCACTTTTGAACTCTCGCTTGCTGGGGTGTTCCAGCAAGTGTCTCTGTAGATCTAAGAAAACTATGTCTTGATTTAAGTCGTTGACGTGCTGGCTGATACCCAAACAAGGGATGAGCTGGAGATGTCTCTGCCTTGATCCTTTCACTATTGGCTGCAACTTCCTGGCAGATGTCACGTGGTGCAATACCGGCTATTGGTCACTCATTGGGTTGTTAGGCGTATTGTGTCTAAATTTGGTGTCAATTTGCCCAGTGGTTTTTGAGTTATGTTAATCCCACAAACAAACATTACATTTTTATTTATATAGATATACCAGGGAAGCATCCCTGGAAGGTGGCCTGTATTCTTCCAACTTGCCTGAATACAGCAAGTTCGTATGTTGACTGTTGCAAACGGCAGGGCACAAACCAGTGTATTAGTGACCAAGAAAGGAGGCTCCAAATGAGCTCCTTTCTTCTCACTCATTCACTGGCTTGTGCCCTGCCGTTTGCAACTGTCAGCATACGAACTTGCTCTATTCAGGCATGGGTTGGCCATTAGGCTTGGGCGATCCAGTTCGTTAATTTGGTAATTCGTTATTAATTCGTATTTAAATTAGCTTACGGTCCAATATCGAACCATGCAGGAATAGTGTGAGGAGTAATTAAGAATCGAAACAATTTTTCCAATTTTCGTAATTATTTTCGTATGTCTGGTGCAAGTTTTACAATCTCGCATTTACCCCACTTCCGGTCCCTTTGCTCTGCTGCTTCCCTCCTCTTTCCTCATGCTTCTTCTTGCCTCACTCTAATATACAATACTATAATATAATATATAATATAATAATATTATAATAATATATATATTATATTATATTATTATAATACTATTATATTATAGTATTGTATATATTATATTATTATATTATATATTTTATTACTATATTATTATATTATATTATAATTGTATAATATAATATAATATATATAATATATATAATATCATACATTATAATATAATATACAATACTATAATATAATATATAATAATATAATAATATAATATAATATAATATAATATAATATAATATAATATAATATAATATAATATAGTTGTTGTTTGTTTTATCACACCAACAGTCAAAAACAGAGGGAGAGGGAAGCTTCAGAAGTTCCCCCTGTCCCATTTGGAGGATTTTTTAGCATATTGCGCAATCGCGTCTGCCATTAACGAATTGATTCGTAATTTACCAAATTTCGGAAATTTTGAAATCTTAAATTTCGGAAGTCCTCAGAATTTAGAAACGCTAGTGCACCCTAGAAACGAAACGAGTTTAGAACCAATTTTTTTCTTGATCGCCCAAGCCTATTGGCCCTCTGTTAGGAATGGTGGGAGTTGAAGTCCAAACCCCTTGGAGGGAGAGCTGAAGTTTGACCCTACCAGTTCTCTCTCACCTGTAGAGAGGCCAAGGCTGCAACTTGACGTCTTTTCCTCTCTTCTCTCCTCAGGACGCAGGTGATCTGCATGTGACTCTGCGGCCCACCCTCCCCTCCCCTCCAGGATGATGGCTCCTCCTCTGGCGTGTTCCCCAAATCTCCCCAACGTTGCTCCTATCCCCTTCTCCGCCTGCCCTGCGGATGCTGCGGACTCTGGGGATGCAGCTCCTTCCGCAGGGCGAGAGACGATGGCCTCCCTTTCCGCCTGGGACCGGACCCCCTGAAGCACTTTCTGACCCAAATGGGCAGCGCAGCGAACTCTGCCTGGACCCCGAACCTCCTTCTGCCGCTGCCTGTGCTTGGGGCTTCTGCTCACCCCAGGATGGACTGACCGGACGGCCAGCCCTGGGGTGCGCCCACCCTTTTTCAGGCCGCTGTCCGGCTCCTTTCTGCCCCGCGCCTCCCCTGGACCTCTCTTTCCCCATTTGGGGATGCTGCCCTATTGCAGAAGATGGACTATGCACAGGCCGGAGCTGGGGCAGGAGAACTGGGGAAGGAGGGCCCTGCGCTGGCTTCTCCCTTCAGCCACCAAAGACTCTTTCCAGGGGGTGTGGGGAGGGCAAGCGTGGGATGGGGAGCGCCTGGGGGCAGCTCCCAGAGTTCTATTTTTGTATCCGCAGCCCTTCTTTCTGCGTTGTTTCTGTTGTGTGCGCAGCGGGGGGGCCCTCCCTCCCTCCCTACATCCTTCCAGCCGGGTTTCACGCCCTCCTTCCCCAGCGGACAGGATCCCTCGCCCACATGGGGGCCAGGCAGGAGGAGGATTCATCCGTCCCTCTGTGTGTGTGTGTGTGTCTCTCTCCCCCATCCATCCATCCGTTCTTTTGCACTGACTTTTGCACTGCCCTTTGGCCTCTCCATCTTTGCTGTAAGAGAGGGCAGTGGTTGTGTGTCCATCCCAGATCATGGCCAAGGGAGGAAGCCTCCTTGCCACCCCCATCGCCGAGGCTTCTGCCTCTCAGGAGTCCTCTTGCAGCCTCTGGAGTGGGACGAGGCTTCCTTTCAGGGAGGGCAGCAAGGCGGCTGACCCTCATGGGTGGGTCCATTTCCTCCCTCCAGTGTCCTCAGTGGGGCGGAAGGGCAACCAAAGACCCAGCAAGAGCCTCCACTCCAAATCCCATCATCCCCTCGGATGCTGCAGGCCTCTGTTGCAGTCCCTCTCCTTCCTCGAAAAGGCGCCTGGCCCGGGAAGGCTCCCCCAAAGGAGGAACCCGAGTTGTTTGGCCCTCTCCCTCCATCCCCCAGGCCCCAGGCAACAAGCAGACTCCACCCCAAAAGCCCCTCTCCTTAGCTGCAGTGGCTTCCCTCCTCCTGTGTTGGACTCTCTTGGCTAGTGTTTTGTTGTTGTTGTTGTGCCTATAAAGGGTTTTTTTCTCTCTCTCTGGCTCTCAGATATCTGCCTTGGCTCTGAGTGTTGCATAATAATAATAATAATAATAATAATAATAATAATAATAATAATAATAATAATAATAATACATCACACAGTCCTAAGCACTTGGGAAGGGTCTGACGTGTGATCCAATTCAACAGCCAGCAGAGTGTCTGCTGTGGACTCATCTTGTAGTGTTTCTAATGATGATGATGATGATGATGATGATGATGATGATGATGATACATCACACAGTCCTAGACACTTGGGAAGGGTCTGACGTGTGATCCAATACAACAGCTAGCAGAGTGTCTGCTGTGGACTCATCTGGTTGTGTTTCTAATAATAATAATAATAATAATAATAATAATAATACATCACATAGTCCTAGACACTTGGGAAGTGTCCGACGTGTGATCCATTACAACAGCCAGCAGAGTGTCTGCTGTGGACTCATCTTGTGGTGTTTCTAATAATAATAATAATAATAATAATAATAATAATATTTACCAATACATCACACAATCCTAGACACTTGGGAAGACTCCAACGTGTGATCCAATTCAACAGCCAGAAGAGTGTCTGCTGTGGACTCATCTTGTGGTGTTCCAAATAATAATAATAATGACAACGATGATAATAATAATAATAATAATAAATCAAACTACAAGAGAGGAGATTCCACCTGAACATGAGGAAGAACTTCCTGACTGGGAGAGCCGTTCAGCAGTGGAACTCTCTGCCCCGGAGTGTGGTGGAGGCTCCTTCTTTGGAAGCTTTGAAACAGAGTTGGCCATGGGGGCTCTCTGTGCCAAGTTTGGTCTTTATTGGTATTTGGATGACTGTCGCTGTGGTTTCAGGAAGTGAGTGAAAGTACTGCAAGTCCCATTATACATGGTCCATCCTCCTCCAAGCAGCACCGGTATGTAGGATGGGTCATGGGGGCTCTGTGTGCCAAGTTTGGTCCTGATTGGTCATTAGATTAGGGTTGTAGTAGTCTTGGGGTGGGAATGATTTGAATGCAATATTCCTGCTTCTTGGCAGAATGGGGTTGGACTGGATGGCCCACCAGGTCTCTTCCAACTCTTTGATTCTATGATTCTATGATATAATCAAGAGTAGGAAACTGCTTCAAGTGCAAAAGACAAAGAGGGAACGCCGTAAAAACACAATGCAGAGCAGAAGGGAAAACTGGCAAAAGAAGTTTCTCTCTCCAGGGACGGTTCCTGGAGAAAATTGAGAGCCAAATTGACAAAGAAAAAACCTGGCTGTGGCTCAAAAATGGGACTTTGAAAAAGGAGACAAAGTAGTGTAGACTCTGCAAGGAAGCAGATGAAACCATAGATCCCATCCTCAGCTGCTGCAAGAAGATCGCGCAGACAGACTCCAAGCAGAGGCACAACACCGTTGCTCAGATGATCCATTGGAACTTGTGCCACAAAGACCATCTGCCTACAACAAAGAACTGGTGGGATCACAAGCCTTGGCTCTGACTATTGCTCAGGAATAATAATAATGATGATAATAATAATATATAATATGAAAGTCAGTAGTAGTAAACTGCTTCAAGTGCAAAAGACAAAGAGGGAATTCCGTAAAAACACAATTCAGAGTAGAAGAGAAAACTGGCCAAAGAAGGCTCTCCATGGACAGTTCCTGGCAAAAAATTAAGAGCCAAATGGACAAAGAAAAAACATGGCTGTGGCTCAAAAATGGGACTTTGAAAAAGGAGACAAAGGAGTGTAGACTCTGCAAGGAAGCAGATGAAACAAGAGATCCCATCCTCAGCTGCTGCAAGAAGATCGCAGACAGACTCCAAGCAGAGGCACAACACCCTTGCTCAGATGATCCATTGGAACTTGTGCCACAAAGACCATCTGCCTACAACAAAGAACTGGTGGGATCACAAGCCTTGGCTCTGACTATTGCTCAGGAATAATAATAATAATAATAATAATAATAATAATAATAATAATAATAATAATAATAATAATATGGAAGTCAGTAGTAGTAAACTGCTTCAAGTGCAAAAGACAAAGAGGGAATGCCGTAAAAACCATCCAGAGCAGAAGAGAAAACTGGCTAAAGAAGAAGGCTCTCTATGGACAGTTCCTGGCAAAAAATTGAGAGCCAAATGGACAAAGAAAAAACCTGGCTGTGGCTCAAAAATGGGACTCTGAAAAAGAAGACAAAGGAGGGCCTGATTCTGGCAGCCCAAGAACAAGCCATTCGAACCAAGGCCATCCAAGCCAGAATTGAAAAGTTGACGACAGATCCCAAGTGTAGACTCTGCAAGGAAGCAGATGGAACAATAGATCCCATCCTCAGCTTCTGCAAGAAGATCATGCAGACAGACTCCAAGCAGAGGCACAACACCCTTGCTCAGGTGATCCATTGGAACTTGTGCCACAAACACCATCTGCCTGCCACAAAGAACTGGTGTCGATGTCGCAGTCCCAGGTGACAGCAGGACTGCAGAGAATCAAGAGGAAAAGCTGACATGATATGAGGACTTAAAGATCGAACTGCAAAGACTGGCACAATCGGCACACTGGGTGCAGTGCCTAAAGACCTTGCCCTGCACTTAAACACAATCGGCACTGACAAGATGACCATCTGCCAGCTGCAGAAGGCTACCCGACTGGGATCTGCACGCATTATTCGCCGATACATCACACAGTGTTAGACACTTGGGAAATGTCTGACGTGTGATCCAATACAACAGCCAGAAGAGTGTCTGCTGTGGACTCAGCTTTTGTTTCAAATAATAATAATAATAATAATAATAATAATAATAATAATAATAATAATTCTTTATTTATATTCCGTCCTTCTCACCCCGAAGGGGCTCAGGGCGGATCACAGTACACGTACAAACATTCCATGTCGCTTTGTATAGACAATACACAGAACAGAAGGAGGTGGTTTATTTCAGCTGTTTTTGGTGTCATGGAAGGTTGGGCTCGAGTCTAAGGGGTGCTGTTGCTGTATCCTATATGACGAAGACCTGTCAGGACTTCCTCCTTCCTTTTGGTCACCCAGCATTTTCCGATCATCTTCCTTTTTTATGGTGTTGTAAAACACCACCTCTGCTTTTAACGGTACCTAATATCTCTAATCACAGCTAAAGCTGTTTTCGAATGGCTTAGGTAAACAATGAGCTAGACAGACAGTTGGTAGCTCATGCCAACCCAGGGCTTCAAACTTGCAACGTTTTGGTTGATAGATCTTATAATTGCTGTTGATTTACCATGTTCTAAACCTCCGGAAGGGTTGTGTGTGTGAGAGAGAGGGGGGAGGGAGGCTTTGGGGGGGGGGGGAAATCAAGTGTTGGGATCAGCTCCATCATCCTTTGCCCTTCCTACCAACAGAGCTGTGACTGGAACGCAGAACCATGGCTTCAAACTACAAGAAGTGAGATTCCATGTGAACATTAGGAAGAACTTCCTGACTCTGAGAGCTGTTCAGCAGTGGAACTCTCTGCCCTGGAGGGAGTTTGGTGGAGGGAGGCTCCTTCTTTGGAAGCTTTTAAACAGAGGCTGGATGGCCATCTGTCGGGGTGCTTTGAATGCAATTTTCCTGCTTCTTGGCAGAATGGGTTTGGACTGGACGGCCCGTGAGGTCTCTTCCAACTCTAGGATTCTCAAGACCCGGGCAACAGTGCAAATTGGATTCTTACTGGAAATGCTTTAATTGCAGGCCAAAGCCATAGGCGATAGCAGGTACTCACTGCACATAAGGGCTCTGTCACAACCTGAAATGGGGTTGCAGAAAATTGGAAACACATTCTCATTGGTGTTCAAAGATCAATTATTCCATTGGTCTAAGCTGGCCAATACAGGTTTTCATTGCCTCTCTCTAACAAGCACAATGATGCTTTCATGCCTCTGACCCTGATGTTTGGTCTTGTCCACTTTTCTGTTTCAAACACAGACTTCATTCCTGGGTATGCATTTTTCTAATTAAAAACTAGTACGAGGATTGAATGAAAAGTAATGCCTCCACCTTCGTTACTTGGGTTTGGATGGGAATATTTTAATAAATCAAATGCAGAAATAATCCTTAGAATGTGCTCTTTAACTACCACTATTCACTTTTCCACATAATCACCAGACAATTGATATGGAATGTGTCCAGAGGAGGGCAACTAAAATGATCAAGGGTCTAGAGAACAAGCCCTATGAGGAGCGGCTTAAAGAGCTGGGCATGTTTAGCCTGAAGAAGAGAAGGCTGAGAGGAGACATGATAGCCATGTGTAAATATGTGAGAGGAAGCCACAGGGAGGAGGGAGCCAGCTTGTTTTCTGCTTCCTTGGAGACTAGGACGCGGAACAATGGCTTCAAAAGGAGATTCCATCTGAACTTGAGGAAGAACTTCCTGACTGTGAGAGCTGTTCAGCAGTGGAACTCTCTGCCCCGGAGTGTGGTGGAGGCTCCTTCTTTGGAAGCTTTAAACAGGGTTGGATGGCCATCTGTCAGGGTGATTTGAATGCAATATTCCTGCCTCTTGGCAGAATGGGGTTGGACTGGATGGCCCATGAGGTCTCTTCCAACTCTATGATCCTATGATTCTATGAATGTGCTCTTGAAC